CATCAAAATATCAACCCAAAAAAAAAAATAAATAAACCGTATCATAATCGAAGAAGAAGAAAAATTGAAAAAGTAAAACGAATATCTTTAATAACGATTCAGCCGAAAATAAATGGAGAAAGAGAAAAAAACCTTACATAACATACATGGAAATATAATGATGATGATGATGAAAAAAAATGAGAATCAAGAAAGTAAAAGAAATGATGCTGATGAGGAAATAAATAAATTTGAAATGAGAAACTCTAAAATAATAGGCGGTAAACAGAATTTGATCTGATTAAGAAATACTTGAGAAAATTGAGAATCAATTGAGATACAATGATTGTATTGTCGTTCGGAATGTTCGGTTCGTTTTTTTTTATTTATTTAATCAAATTATTCATTTGGGTGTGTGTTATAAACAGAGAATAAGAAAAGAAAATATTATTCCAGGAGGGGTTTGATTAAATTGATCTGATTTTCGTTGCTGTTTGTTTGTCAATTGTTTCTGTTTCTATGTTATTCATTTTTGCTTTCAATAAACAATCAATAATGAATAACAAACAATTATTGAACAATTTTCGACAAAAGGTCATCATATAATTATGATTTTTTTTTATCAATTTCTTTGTTAATTTTAGTTTCATTTTTGTGTTTGATTTTCATTTTCCCGGTATCATGATTTGAAAAAAATAAAAATAATTTTTCCCACTTGATCAACACTTGATTATCATTTATAATTGAAAAAAAATGATGACCAATATGGTTTATATAGTTGAATGAAAAAAAACAAAACAAAATCATCCAAAACGACTTATTCAACATTGGATTTTTTTTTTGTTTTCATTTAATCAAATTTCCAATAAATAAAAAAAAAATAATGATAATAATAATTATGTAAACAATGATATTTCATATAGTCTATATATAGCATTATTATTTTCATTTTGAATGATACGGATTCGGAAATGAGCAAAGAGAATGAAAATAGTTGCCAAGAGCCAATTCAATCATCAAAGATGAAATATTTAGATTGTTTTTTCCTTCCAAATAATAATAATAATGATGATGATGATGATGAAAATGAAATTCAGTAAAGAGGATTGTGAATGAGTGGGAAAAAAATGGTTGAATGGTGGGGGGGAATATATGAACAACAGCAAAACTAATATATTTAATGATTTTTATAATAATTTTTTTTTTGTTTTGTATTATCATCATTATATAATGATGATCGACAATGAAATCAACCTATTGATCGATCTATGATCGAATGTTTATGTTGTTGTGATCATATTATTGATTATGATGATGATTTTTCGATGATTTTTGATGGTCTCAATGGTGGTGATGGTGAAAAATGAATTGCAAAATGTGTAGCATTATTGTTGATTTTGAATCAAATTGATGAAATGATGCGTTCGATGAGAAAACATTTTGTTGTTGTTGTTTGATTGGCAGATTTTAAACACATCATTTTTATTATTATTATCATCATGATGATATGATGATGTAAATGCATCAAACAACAAAAAATTCTGTAAACATAAATCCACATTCGTGGTCTTTTTCAACCAAAAATATATTGAATCGAAAATGAATTTCATATTCGCAGTTGGAAATTTTTTTCGTTTTTCAATTTCATCAATTTTGTAATTCGCTACTTTTTTTTGTGATCAATTTCTAATGGAAATGATTTTTTTTTCACTTTACACCAAACATGAACAAGAAATTATTACTTTGAATGATTTTTTTTTCTGGTTGGAAAATATGTTAGTTTTTCTTCCTCAAAAAATTTATTCTTTTCATTATGGATTTTATTTTTAGATTTTTGCAACCAAAAATATTTGCTTGACAGAATTTCAAAAAAATATATACCTTTTGACTGATTTAAAACACATTTACTGTAAACATTAACATCAATGTTAAATGAAAAGAATCGATTGACAAATCTAATTTTGGATTTCAAAAAATATTGTGCTTATGTATTTTCCCCGTTTGTTTGTTTGAATTTAAGTCGAAAATCATATTATTATCGTTTAATGGATGAATGAGAATGAGCTTTCATTTGGCGTCATGATCAATTTATCTACTTATCAATGAAGAATGTTTATAAAAGTAAATCAATGTTGTCGAAAAAAAAATTTTCAATTGTTATTTTGATAGATGAATCTTTCGGAATCTATTCATTCTGTTTTGGATTCTTGTTATTGTTTTATATCGATGCACAAATATCTTCAAGATCGATAAAGGAAATTCCGGATAAAATCATAATACAAAGCATATTCTCTCCATTTCAAATTCTTGATTCGAATGTTAACATATAAAGAATTTATATTTTTCAAACAACCAAACAAACAAAAAATTAATCTGTCAATTTCAATCATATTCAATCATGTAAAAGTTGCTTGTAAAAGTTGCATGTAAAGCTGATGTATGTTGATATAATTATGTTATAATTTGAACAGAATTTCTCTCTCCCTATTTTTTGCCTATTCAATTATTGAATATAGGAAAATTTTGTTTTTTTCAGTTTTTCTCCGAAAAAACTGAAATTCTGTAGAATTCCGTTTACTCGGTTAATTATAAAGTCATAAGTTCATTTGTTTTTTTTTTAAAAAAAAAAGCTAAATTTGTGAGTTGTTTTTCTTTTTCTTTTTCTTTTTCTGTTTGTTTGTTTGTTTGTTAACTGAATGAAATGAAAATGAAAAAAACAAACATGAACATGAACATTTAACATTTAATTTTTGTTGTTGTTGTTATTCTTTATCTAAATGTTTTTTTTCTTCATTTTGTTTGCCATTCCTATTTGGACAACATTAAAACAACGACAACAACAACAACAAAATTTTTAGTAACGATCTTATGACCCGAGAGATCATTTCGTATTTGTTTTTTCTATTATTATTTTCATTTTGCTTGTATTATTTAGATTATTATTATCTCAGGCTCATTTGTATTTAGGCTCTGTATATATATTCTCTTTCGATTGTAGTTTTTGATCCCTGTTGATGATGTTGTTGTCATATTTTTTTTTATAACCCAGAATTTTTCAACAAAAAAGTAGTGAGGGATAAAAATGCCGTATCAGTTAAATGAAAATTTAAAAAAATGGAGAAATTAAAAACAACGAAAAAACGTTTATAAATTGAAATATTAACCAATAGGCACAAAAAGAAAACATCTTAAACGATTGTACATGGATAGAATTTTCAACGAAAGATTGATAAAATTCCAAAATAAAATGAAATGAAAGAAAAGATATTTTTCATTTACGATACCAAATAAGTTTATTGTTGTTGTTGTTGTTAAGAGAAATATTTCTTTGTAAATATCATCATCATCATGATGGAAGGGATGATTGAGAAAATGAACATATTTTTTCTGGTTTATTTCATTTCTCTAAATGATGTATAAAAGTTTTTGCTCAATATTCGGATATTTGTTTCAGCGTTATTTGGTACGGCAACTATCATCATCATCATAACGATTGATAAAAGTTTTTATCAATTTTCCGGCTTTTTCCAATATATTTCCTTTCATATAAAACATTTGAAGTTTGTGTGAAATGAACAGAAACAAACCGAGCAAACAAAAATGTGTTTTTTCTTAATCTTCTGATGATGTTTGTTGAAAAAATTTAATGATTAATTAAATTTACTTACTTACGAAAAAAATTGTTTATGAAAAAATTATCCAGAATTTTATTTTTCCATTCTATTTCTCTTTCAACAAATTTATTATCATTAACATCATTGTCAAAAAATGAAAACGAAAAAGTTATTAATTTGGCAACCTGAAGATATTATTATTATTATTATTTTTGTTACAAAAATTAAATGTAAAAAGTAAATTAAAACATTTTGGTTTTAATTTTGTATTTGTCTGTGTATGTGTGCGAATGAATGAAAATACACAAATGGAAAATATCTTAATATGTAATAGTTTTTTCCCCTTGGTTCCTTGGTTAACATTATTATTATCATCATCATCATTATTGGCAGAGAAAAATAAATGAATGAATCTAAATTGAATTAGGTCAACGCCAAAGAAAAAAAAAGAAACATTCACATCATATAATTATATTATTCTAATAGTTGGTATTATTTGAAATAATATAAAATTCTTATCATTATCAATTTGTTTGTTGTTGAAAATTCTATAATATTCAAATGCTAATAGATTCCATTGATTTTTTGTTTGACAATATAAATGACGACCATTATGATTTGGAAAATTTTGTTGTTGTTGTTCGTTATTCATTAGCCAATCATCACCACCATCAGGATGATAATTACCAGTTTTTAATGATGATGATGGTTGTTGTTGTTTTTGTTTTTTTCGTCGAAATCTGACACATAGTTTATCATTTAAATTTAATTCTTTCGAAAAATTCATTGACATTGGTGATGATGATGATGATGATGAATGTTGAGATGAATAGTTTGATTGTAACGATTCGTATGGATGATTTAGATAATTATTATCATTATTATATTTTAATGATAAATATTTTCGACATTGTTCCATATTAACAATTTTGACGGGTCGATGATTTAACATATCTTGTTCATAATTTAGTTTAACAATAACACATTTATGTGAACTTTCAGCATTGCTTGAAGTTGTCCACCACCAATTTGAACTTGTCGAATATGAAGTTTTTGTTAAACAAATCGGCCTGATTAAATTCAATTTATTCATTTGTATACGTTGTTCTAATTTTAATAACGTTATTCGTTGTTGTTGTTGTTGTTGATGTTTTTCATTTAAATTATTATCATCAATAATTTGTTGTTGAATTGAACTTACACGAAATTCTTTTGATTCAATATTATTTGTACTTAAACGAACTGAACCAAGTATTATTGTAATATTATTATTATTATTATTATTATTAATCATTAATTTTGGATCGATTTGTCCATTAAAACATATTGTTTGTGCAATAATTGTATCCCATGTGATCAATGTACCATCACAATAATAATGTCCATTAATGTTAATTTTAGCATACCAAGGCCAATATCCAGGATAGGATTTTTTTAGTCCATCATCATCATCAGTTAAATTATTATTGATTGTTGTTTCAATAATGTCAACATCTTTATCAATGGTTAATGAATCGATTGGTATATGATTAATGCCACATTTTTCATTTGAACATTGCATATAATAAACTTGTTTACTTTTACATTGTATTGGATAGCTGTTATTTGTGAATGTTGTTTACAGTAATTTTATGTAATGACGACAAACGAAAAGAAAAAGAAAAAGAAATCAAAATATAAAAAATGATAAGAAAATCGAATAGACGAAAAACTTTTTTTGTTTTCAATCAATAAAATATATTTTTGTTTCTGTTTTACTTACGGTGATGGTAACGTTGTTCCAGGAACAAATCGTGTAAAATTAATCGATTCATCGTCCGAATTGAATGACGGTGTCAAAATTTTGCTCTCAATTTGTATCAATTTTCTTCATTTTTTTTTTTTTTTTTTTTGATTTCACACACAAATTCATTCGATTAGTTGAAAGAAAAGCAAAAATAAATTGATATTAATCGTTTTTTTTATAGAATTAATCGATTATCATTTTTTCACTCAAAAAAAAAATAGGGTTAACTTACTCGAAATAATTTTCCTCACATATATTATGTCCTAATATTGGTGTATGATTATCATAATTATAGTAACCATGATTATTATTACTATTACCATTATCATTATTTCGAGTTTGATTCATATTGAATGTTGTTGTTGTTGTTGTTGTTGAATGTTGTTGATCACTACATACAAATGAATGTTTACCCTTTGAAATAGCACCTAAATATCCTTCATTTATTATCGATATGGTTGTCCATTTAATTAATTTTTTTGTATGAATTGATTTTGATGATGGTGTTGTAACCATTAATCGAAGACAATTAATTTCATCCACACCATTTTGACAATCACGTATATTGTCACATGTTTGATTCATTGTTATACATTGTCGATTACCACAATGAAATTTTTCTATATTATTATCATTCGTTGAACAATATGTACAATTTGATTCATCACTTTCATCTAAACAATCAAATATACCGTCACAGATTTTATAATGTTGTGATTGTAGACGAAGTTGTTGTGCACAATTTGGTTTATTATGACATAATTTTTTCTTTCGTTGATGATTCCAAATACCGATGATTTCATTTTGATTGTTTCCATCACTATCATCATCATCATCATTATCACCAAAAATACCAACACTGTTATCATTGGAAAATTTTCTTATCATTTTTGGAAATTTTGAACATGTAATTTTTTTCAATAATTTTTCAGGTAACCATTTTTGACATGAATCCAAAAATTCTTGACAAAAATTTCTACATGGTAATATAATCATATCATCATTATTATTAGCATTACATTCAGGCTGTAATAAATTACAAATAAAATGTTTTGATAATGAATAACATTCAGAATCGATCAATTCTTTAAATTGTATAAATTCTTCTTCAATTGAACTTAAATTCCAATGATTAAAAAAATTTGGATATGATGTTTGATTATATGGTAAAAAACGACAATATTGAAGATCAATACGGCCACATTTTCTTGGTGGTGGTATTGGATCCGTTGGTAAACCTTCAAGCATACCGGGAAACAATGATTTATGATTCCATGGATTTCCCGATGCAGAAGCCATAGAATATTTTTCAGAACCACCACCACCATTCATTATGCCGGATCCACCAATCCGATGAAATGGATGCCAACGTCTTTCTTGTACATCAATCGAATTATGATCAACCATTAAATTTTCGAATATCTTTAATCGATTATTTACAATTTCTTCAGCAAGTATTAAATAAATATCTGATGTTTCAACATTTGATGATTTATCTGCTGAAACATGTACATTTAAATGTATAATTGTTTCAGATGGTGAATTTCTTTTTCGTTCAAATGCAATTATTTCTGTTTTAACAAATGATCTACTAATCATACTTTGTTGAAATAGATTATCAATACGTTTTTGTAACATATTTGAAAATTGACGAAATTCATTTGAATCAACATTTTCCAATTCACTTAGAAGAAAATCCTGATTACGTACAACAAATTTTGCTTTAAATACACGTTCTTTAATAAAAAGGGGAAAAAAATAATGTACGATAATTCATTACAAATATTGATACATAATTAATTCTCTTTTACAAACCTCTTAAATGTTTACCATCGAAAAAATTTACTAATTAAAAGAAGGTAAACAAACAAACAAAAAATCATTAAATAAATACTGAAATACTAATTGTTTTAATTAAAAAAAAAACTTACAATTATAATAAATACCAGACATTAATGCTGTTACAAGAAAAATGAATGCAATAAAAAAACACATACAATTACATGGTGTACAGAATTCATTCTTATGCCAACGTAATTGTTGTTGTTGTTCTTGTTGTTCAATAAATTCGATAGGATTGAAATCCTGTATCGATTGTTGTCGTTGTGGAATAATCAATGTATTCTGATTTGGATCACCAGCCGTTATAATATTGTTCATATCAATTAATTGTGGATGTTGTTGTTGTTGTTGATGAATTGTAGATGTCAATGTACCTGGTAGATTCATAGATTGATAATGAACATGTGGCGGTGGTATCGTTGCTGCTACTGCTGCTGCTGATGTTGATGATAATGATGATGATGGAAACGGTGTAACCGTATAAATATGGCTATTTTTCAAACGATTTCGATTACGATTTCTTGAATTTCGTTCAATCGTATAATGATCGTTTTGAGACATGTTTCTTCTTTTTGGATTTTATTCTTTCAACCAAACTTCTTAAAAAACAATAGAATCGTGAACAATTTTTCAAAATTCCTTTTCATTATTCGATCATCATTTGTTTTCAGGTAAATCAGTTTGTCAAATCACACAGTTATTATTGAAAAAATAATGATGATGATGATGAAAAATGCATTTTTTTTGGACAAATAAACAATTCATAAATCTTAATATATTTTTTTTCTTCTTCTTCTATTTCTCTTGTCTTCTCTGCTTTCTCTATAGAAATTTTGATGGAAAAAAATGAAATAAGTAAGAAATACAAACATAATCTTTCATGTGTAACGATATTTGTCGATTTTGTTTTTGTTTTTTTTCTTCAAAAATGTTCTCTTTTATCAAGTTTGGTTAGTTTCGTTTCAGTTTGTTTCAGAAAGATCTTTTTTGCCGTGATACCTTTGAATATTCACCCAGTTTATTACAATTGGCTCTCTTTTTTTTCTTTGCTTTTAAAATTGTATTATGCAACCAGAAGAAATAACCAAAAGAAAAAATAAATTCAACCAAATTCAAACATACAACCAATCCGTTATTCAAAGAAGCGTAACGTGTTTTTATTTTTTACTTTTGTTCGTTTGTTTGAAATGAATTCAACTATTTCATAGATTTTTTTTCAACTATGTCAAGCAACAATGAAAAATGAGAGAAAGAAAGATGGAGTATGACATTTTTTTTCTGAATGTTTGAAAGAAATTCATCGAATTATGCATTGATAATTGGTGGCCATCATCATCATCAACAACGATGATAATAACCATTGACAAAAAGACCATTGTCAAGACAAAAATCAAAAAATCAGCCAAAGTGTAACAACGAGGTTACAATAGAGAGGGATACCGAAAAAACAGCAAAACGAATCCAAAAAATTAAAATTTGTAAATAGAATTTATTTTTTAAAATCATTTATAATGTTGAATATTATTAAATATTTAAACCATCAACAACAACAAAATTTTTTTTTGTGTTATTGTAAATTATCTTATTTGATAATTGATTTTCAATCAATTATACAATTTTTGAATATTTAAATTTCTCACAAATGTCATTATAAATGGACTTTATGAATGAATGAATGAATGAACGAAATAAAATGAAATGTGAACCACAAAAAACAAAAGAAAACAATGATAATCAATAAGATAAGATGTTGTGTGTGTGTGTGTGTGTTGATTAATGTTGTGTGACTATATTGAAAATACAGGGCGGTAGGTGTGTGTGTGTTTTAATGTACCATCACAATGATGTTTGTTCATTTACTATATAAAACCAACAGTGAATTTGATAAACCAAAACAAAGAAAAAAATGAAGATATTTATTTAATAATCAAATTATAACAATAAATATCGAAATTTGAAAACGAAAAAAAAAGGAAAAGAAAACAAACAATCCATTAAACAATGAAATCAAACAAAACAAAACAAAACAAAAATATATTGATTGAATTTTAAACAAGAATAATTATATTGGATAATGGTGATGATGATGCGGAAGAATTTAGATTTGCTTTTGCTTTTGTTTTTTTTAATGGGTGTTGACAAATGGTTATAATGAATGAATGAATATTATATACATTGATGATAACACATTTTGTGTATTTAGAGGCTTTTTTGTTGTTGTTGTTGTTGTTGTTGTTTGAATTACAATGAATTTTCATTCATTTTGTATTTTCAATTTGTATAATTATAACATTTTTTTAAAAAAACAATCAAAAATTTCATTCGAATCAAAAATTTCTTTTTCAATAATGATAGCTATTATAATTGGCCATTGATGCTGTTGATGTATCATTATTACCGGATGATGATTGTCGGTTATTACCACCAACATTATTACCACTTGGATATGATATTGATTCGATTGTATTGGCACGATAAGCACCACTACCATATAATTGTTGTTGTTGTTGTTGTTGTTGATGATGACCATTATTATCACTTTTATTTGGCCGTCTTCCTCCACTACTAATTCCACTATAATCAGATTCATCAAAACTATATGAAACACCTTGATTATAATTTAAATATGGTCTATAATATTGATGAAAACTTGATTTATCTGTATAACTTTGTGATGTTAATGGTTGTATTGGTTGTCGACGATAATTACTTGCACCAACACCACTAGCTAACCATTCACTACGATCACGATATTCTTTTTCCAAATGGCTATCTAAAACTATATTATTACCGGAACCATTTGGATCAATATTATCTGGATCATTTACGATTCCGGTATATGGATCCGATGTATAATTGTATGGATGATGTGACTGATGATTTGGTGGTGGTGGTGGTGGTGGATATGAAGAAGAACAGGCATGATGAAGGCCAATACCGGTGTTAGAAATTTCATCCTCATAATAAGGATTTGTTAATGTTTGATTATTAACATAAGAATTTGTATATGATGTTCGAGATGATGATTGTGGATGAGGTTGTTGTTGTTGATGTGGATGATGTTGATGATAATCTCTTGATGTGCGTGAATGCATGATTTGTGTTGAAACGCCACCAATATTTGGATCACCCGAATTATATGGATTATATTGATCAAATTGATGACCACGTTGTTGTTGTTGTTGTTGTCGATATCGATCAATATCTTGAATATCATCATCATAATCATATAATTGTTGTTGTTGTTGTTGATCATAATTATTATACATCACATGTGCGTGATCACCGTAAAGCTGTTGTTGTTGTTGTTGTTGTTGTTGATGATGATGAGAATGATGTGATTGTTGTAGAATCTGATCATTCATTATATTATCATTTCGATTAGTTTCATCTTGTGGATATCTTTGTTGTTGTACTATGTTTATAGGATTAGTTTGATGAGTATTTACATTATCAATCAAATGATTTTCTCTCGATTGTTGTTGTTGTTGTTGTTGTTGGTGTGTTTGATTTTTATTAATTCCAACTGGTTTCATTGATCGTTTTCCAATGTTCGTTGCTAAAATTGTATCACGTTTAGCTGATGATGCTACAATTGGTGGATGTGTAGCACGCCAATATGATTCTAAATATTCTGCTAATCGTTCACAAACATCTTCCAATTGATTATCATCTAACACCAGATCAAACATTTCCTTTAAAAAAATCACGTTAATAATGAAAGAATAAAAAATTAGCCAATAATTTACCGATGGACATTGAGCTAATTTTTCGGAAGCAACAATCTGTACATTAAGACTACGACTTTGAGATTTTCCACGTGATTTAATCAAACGTTGTAAAACCTATCGAATTATAAATGGAATCACGTTTGTTTTGAAAAAATTATCAAAAATTATCTTATAATACCTTTGTTGATGAAATTTTTAAATAAACATTGATTGGAGCTAATGAAGTTTTTGATAATTGCGAAGGATGGTTTATAGTATCACAATCAAGTACAACTAATTGCATAGTTCGAGCTAATTCAAATATTCTTTCGATTTCGGCTTGAACATCGGCTATTTTTTTGGAAAAAAAAATCAAATCATAAGGTTAAACATTAATCCAGGAATGAAATAAATTTTAAAAAAAACATACATATTGTTGATGCTCTTGAATTGATTCGACCATGATCAAGTAATGCTTTTTTATTTGAATTAACTAAAGGACGTTTGGCAAGTGAAATATCGGCACTCACACGTGTTATAATGATTCTTGATTCAAAACGATGTTTAATAAAATCGAATAATGCTTTTTGCATCATATCAGTTACTTCATAACCTTTTAATGATGGACCAATCAATACAACTGGTCTCATTGAAGGCACAACATCATATGGTGGAATATTTTCGGCCTAATAGTGAAAAAAATTATCCAATTATTCTGAATAGTTGTTAATAATTTAAATAGAATAACCTTTTTGAAAAATGTTTTTCGTCTTTCTCTTGATGTTGGTGTTGAAACGGCTGATTTATTACCTCTAGAATCATCATCTATAAGTTTCAAATTAGGAGCACAAGGAAAACAATAAAAACAGAAAAAAAATCATCAAATGTTAATCCAAATCAGTCACTATAATAATATTCTTTTTTTTCATTTTCATTTTTCAAAAAAAAGAAAAAGAAGAAAAAAAATCTAAATTCTATGAGACCTGGTGTCGAACCTCCAGAGGATCGTGAATGTTCATCCATTTTTGATGATGAATTAAATCGATGTAATAATAATGAACGACCTTTATGTGTATGATGATGATGTGATTGTTGTTGTGTACGTAATAATTCCAATTTAACTGGACTTGGTATAAAACCGATTCTAGTACCTTCTTTAACCACACGTCCAATCCACCAATCATTATTATATTTCTATTATTTAGATAAATGTTTTTTTGTTTTAAAAAATGATTATTTTACAAATATAAAACAGTCATTTTAATCATAAATAACTATCTACCTACCTCTTTAATATGAAGAAATTCATTTGCATTGAATGAAAGGCCATAACCAGGGGCAGGACAAGTATCTTCAATAGTTGAATCAAATGAAACATTAGTGCGTACAGCAAACGCTACAGGCTTTATCTATATGGATAATAATAATAACAAACAAAACATTAGCTTCCTATTTTTCTATTGTTTTTTGTTCAAATGATGAATACTTGTGCTTTCTCTAGTTGTATTAAGGCTTGTTTTTCAGCTTCACGTTTGGACAAATTTTTTTCATCAATATAATCAGTATCGGATAATGGTTCACTAAAACTGTAATTTGAATCGTTGCAATCCTGATTTTGGTTTTGGTTTTTGGAATCGTATGATGAAAAGATGAAAATCAAAAGAAAAAAAACAACAATGAATTGGGCGAACCCAGAATATTTTAAAAATAATAGTATTTTTTTGGTGCAAAGATATAACAAAAACATACCGTTTGAATCCAATCCATGTGGATACAACAAACAAAACAAAAAAATATCACCTAATTGGATAATGGATTCATTTGATTGATGTTATTGTAAATTGATTGACTAAGATTTTTGTGTTTGTTTGAATGGATTACATATTTTTCTATCGTTTGATTGAACCAAATGAATCAACAACAACAGCGAAATTTTACCAAAAACAAACGTGTGAGTTTTATTTTATTTTATTTCATACATAACAACAACAAAATCAACAGAATTTGATAATAAAATCACATTCAAATGGACAAAGGCAGTTGAAAAGATAACGACAATAACAAAAACAACAACAACACGAATAAGTGGATGATGTTAATTTTTCGGACAAATAAACAAACAAACAGAATTAAAAATGATCAATGAAAAAAAAACAGTGTTCAATAGATGATCCCGTAGTTTTGAAACTTTTTCTTTTGATTCGATTCTATCATGATTATATTATGAAATGTTTTTGTTTTCCACTTGTAACAATTTATTTACGATAATTTTTATATATAATATACACATACACACACACTTACATATAGATTTTACCATTGAAATACTCACACACACAAACACACTATACGTTTTTTTTTTATTTCGGGAACATTTTGGAAAAATTAGGTGACGAACGAACGAAAAAAAAAATTATACTAAACTGGATCAGTAGACAGTGGATGGTTGATAGAAGATAAAAACGGCGCATCATCAAAAAACCAAATAATATTTTCGATAACCAAAGGAAGCGGTATTGTTGGAACCCAATGTATAACCAAACTAAACAACAACCTACCGACCATGATATATGATTGGCCGGTTGGTTGTGTTTTTTTTCGTTTTCTTCATACATTTGGATCGAAAATAAAATGAGGGGAAAAAACAACAACAACAACAATAATGATAAAATAGTAGTAGTAGTAGTACAGTAAATGGAACAATATTCCATGTTTTACAAATGATGAATCATGTAAATTATTATTATTTTGGGAGCTTGATTCTGGGAGCCATATTAAGAATGAATGAATGAATGAATGATTTTGTTATTTGGTACGGAAAATGTAAGTGTGTGCAGTGTTCTGTGTGTGTGTGTGTGTTGTCTGTCACTATCACTCACATTTATTTCAGCTAGCTCGCTTTTTTTCTTCTATTTTTTCGGTTCCATTGATTTTGGAATCGACATCGTTTCAGACTATGTGGGTAAAGTACAAATAAAAAAAAAAGAAAAGAAAAAAGGAATAATATTTCCATTTGAAAACTCTCAACTCGACTTGTATGAATTTCTATTCATATACTTTGAAACATAATGTATTTCGATTCTTGTTGCTATTGTTGATCAAGGGAAACATTATCATTAAAAATTCGTATACGAATGAGACATATATTTTTCATATTTGAAAAAAAAAATCAAAAATTCCAAAACATTTAACGCCATCTGTTGTTCGATTTTATTAGTTGATATTCAAATTTTCAAATGAACAAATGTTTACAAAAACAAAAAAGCCAATCCAATTGAAAATTCATATAAAAATTTTGTTTTTTTTTAATTTCAAATATTGTAAATAATTCTATGTTTGAATTGAATTTATTGTGATGGACAAACACAAACAAACAAATCAAATCAAAAAAAAAAAAAAATTAAATAAGATTGTATACAAGAAAGGAAAAAAAACATAAAGAAAGTCAAGTCGATTATTTTGTCAGTAAAAAAAATTGCCACTAACATCATTGAATCGTTTTTTTTTTCATTTGGAAAGGAAATTACATGGACAACAAAATATTGAATGGAATTTTTCAAATAAACAAAAAAAAGAAGGAAATTATCGAAATTTTTGGATTTTTGTTTGGAATTCTTTGCAGTGATATAAAAAGTTGATTCAAAAAAGAAAATTCAGAGTATTTTTTGTTATTGGTTTTTTCAATGAAGAGTATTTTTTAGTGAATTGATTGTGATGGTCGAAAAAAAAGGAAAAAAATCCTATCAAAAAAGAAGTCTAAATTTTCTACAAGCAAAAAAAAATTACATAAAATTCAAGGGCATATGGATATGTGATTAATACATATATGATATAATGAAAAAATGAAAATAATATATGCACAAAATTAAAAAAAAAAAAATTCAAGCATTTCGACTAGATGGACGAGATTATTGAAATGTAATAATAAAGATGATGATGCTTTGGTCGATGTTGTTTGGTTATGATGATTATTGATAATTATTGAGGATCGGAAATCTGTATCGATTTTTTTTCATTGTTGTCATTGAGCAATTTAAATTAATCGATTAAAGTATGGTTCGAAATTGTGATCCTAATGAACTTTTTGATGATCCAATTGTTGATCCATGTTTTGGACAACTATTAGGATATTGTTGTTGTTGTTGATGATAATATGGATAACGTAATGAATTAGTTGTTGTATATGGATAACCAGTTAATGATGGATAAATAGCTGTATGGCCAATAATGCCTGCAGCACAACTATCTTCCGAATTGAGATCATCATTATCACCATCAGCACCTAGATAACCACCACCACCACCACAATTATTATGGCTACCACCAAATTCATTTGCCGATAAATAATGATCATCAGATGATTCAAGAATTTTTCTTGTCAATTTTAATGATGTTGCATAAATAATAGCCGAAAATGTTATCAACATGAATGATTTTCCTATATACCACCATGATACTTGATGATGAGAAGATAATATTAGTTGAGCATTTTTATTATTATCATTATTATTATTATGTTTATTTTCATTTGTAAGATTTTTGATTGAAGAATCAATAAAATCAATCGTTGGTGATTGATTAAATTCATTTAAATATTGATCATTATTTAATGTTGTAGTTTTATGATGTTTTTCATCATCATCATTATTATTATTTTGGAATGATTCATTTAATGATATTGTCGATGTTGTTGTCATTGATGGTATTGTTGTTGGTGTTGCTCTTGCAATAATTGTACGTTGATTTAATTTACCAAATACTTCCCAAACAGTACCACATAATGCAACAAATACAACAAATAAAAATATAATCAAAGTTGACATATAAAAATTGAGCAAACAATGATTATGCTCATGATTACGTAAAGCACCAATTATACCCAATAATGAAACAAGTATTGTTGTTGATGACATTAAAAATATGACTAGTTCTTCATTATCCGTACGACGTATTTGATCTGCTAATGAACGGCCAGTATTCCCGGAACGTTCAGCTTCATCAATAATACGACCAATCCATGGATTATAATATATAATTATAATTATACTAGCCACAATTAATGATGTTAATTGTAACATTATTAATGTTATACGGACTGTTGTTAATTTGGCCATTTTTATTTTCTTCATTTTTCTTGTTTTGTTGATAGTTGAATGTTTCACTTTTACAAATAAAAGTACAAAAAAAGATTTTTTATTTTCACCAAATTAGAATCGATAGAAAGTGAAAATCAACCAGAAATTTCAAAAACCAAAAACAAGTGAAATGAATTGATCGATCAAATGACGATGACGACAATAATCAATGTCGACAAATCAATAATTTTTTTTAAAAAAATATTGATGACCTTGTTGCAGATAGATTTTTTTTTGTTTGGATGAATTAATCTATGATGACAGGGGGAGAAAAAAACATTAGCAATTAATTTTTCATTAATTTTTCATTTTTGAAATATTACTTACAGATGAAAAATTTGGTGCAAAATCAAATTGATGTTGAAAGAAATATCTGTCATTGAATGATGAATGATTTTATTTCACAATTCAAAAGCAATCCAAAAACGATTCACGAAAATAAATGGGATTCTTTCAACCGAATCTGTTGTTGTTGTTGTTCATTATTTGACCATCATCATCATTTGTTTCCAATGATCATCATCATGCTATGGACAAACTAGATTTTCAAGTAAAACGACAACGAAAAAAAAAAAACGTCAAAATTTCACTAAAAATAAAATCAGAAAAATAAAATTTTATGTGACAAACACACAGGGAGACAAACAGAAAACTAAAGAGAGAAAAAGATATATAAACGACAGACAAAAAAGAAAACAGGAAATATATTTTCATCCGAAAAAAGTATCGAAAAAAAATTCAAAGTAAAATTTTTCTTTTTATTTTTCATTGTTATAATGAAAAAGGCCATATACAGTAATCGAATCAAAAATGATGATTTAAAAAACGACATATTTTTTGGGATCATTTCAAAGTTAATTTGAATTTTTTTTGGTTTTTTGGTTTTTCCGTGACCCAATTGAAAAAAAATTGAGGCAAAATTTGGAAAAAAAAACTCTAGAATAAATTATCCTTTTAACACCTATCATCATCATCATCATTATCATCGGTCATAATCAATGTTTATTGATTATGTAAAAAAAATTGTTGTTGTTGTTGAAACAGAAATTCTTCTTTCCATTAACTACTTCTACCTAGATTTAGCATCCAAGAAAAATGTTAAATAATCTCATCAATAAACGTCATTTAGCTTGAAACTTTTCTTTTTCTTTTTTTTTTCGTTTTACAAGTTTTACCCAAAAAAAAAGAAAATAATCTCATCGATTATTATCATCGTTAAAACAGCTGTTGAATGATAAATTACTTTTGATTTACAGTTACTAACAATCAACAACACCGTGAACAGGTTTCAATTTCTATTTATTGATGATAATGATGATTTTTTTCCTTGTAATCGAAAAATTACAGTAGAAAAGCCATTTTTTTCGGGTATTTTTTTTTTGTTTCATTTGGCGCCAATTTTAACGAAAATAGAGATATAATTAGCGTTGTTTTTTTTGTTTCACTCAACATGATTCATATTGAACAAAACAAAACAACAAAAAAAAATCCAAAACAACAAATGAATGGGTTGGAACAATATTTTTGTTCAGAAAAGAAGCAAAGAAAAAAAACTTTTCCATAAAAATAGGAACAAAAAACAAAATCTACTTATATAACGATAAACAGATTAGGCGAAAAGAAGAAAAGAAATCTTTTTCCTTTCCGAAATGTGTTTGGCAACAAACAAAAAAATACAAAAAAAAATAACAGTTTCAGTTACGAATCATTTATCATTTATGCTTTCACCCAAAAAAAAGAAAGAGTTTGAATGTTGAAAATTATCATTATTGCTTTCATTTGTTTGAAACATCAACCATTTCGTTATACGATAATATTACGCCCAAGCTTTTCGATTGAATAGAAAACTTTCTAAATTTAGTAACAAATAAAAAAGCCAAAAATGAATCATTTTTTTTTCTCAATGGACAACCATAAGCAATAAAAAAAGCTAACTATATATTCAAGATTATTTAACAGCTTATCTAATGTAAATGATATACTGTATAGTGTGAAAAGGTTATTAAAATACAAATGAAACAAAACCGACCAGTTTCATCAGTTACAGTTTTTTAAAAAAAGGATCATTTTTTTTCTAAAATAACTTGAGAAATGAAATAAAAAAATTGATAATAAAAACAGAAAATTCTTCTTCTTTTTTTCAATTCAAAATATGCTAATGAATTTTACTGTTTCGAAAAAACAAAATTTGGGTTAATGTGATTTGTGTGTGTGTGTGTGTCCATAACACCCATTTTTTGTTTGTTTGTTTGAAAATGACCTATGCAAAGAAAAAATTTCTCCCATTCAATCATGAATATAATGTACTTTTTCTTCTTCTTTGATTTTCTAGGATATCAATCTATATGTCACATCGAACAAAAACAGAGATGAAACGATAACGACTACGACAAACGACAAAATCAAACAATCAATCAATCAATCGACAAATATAGTTTGGATATTTAAAAAAAACGAACAGTTCCTTTCTCACAGACAAACACACACACACACACACACATATAGTCACTTGAAATGAAATGATCATCATTTATTTACCAATGATCGATTGATTGATTGATTGATTGTCAATTATCGATCGAAAACTATTATTATAATGATGATGATGATTGGCGGAAAGGAAAAGAAAAAGAAAAAAAAACAAAGACAAAAACGAAAAATTAAACATTAAATGTATAAAGAAAGAAAAAAAACGCACCAAACACACACACACACATTTCAATCGATAGAATTCAAATTTTTCTGATGATAAAAATACTTTACATGGAGCGAGTGAGAGAGAGAGAAAAACAGGATACCATGACAACAATCGACAATGATGACAAGGAAGTTGTTATCATCATCATCATTATATGGTTATGATGAAATGAATGACGACAATCATTGACTGAATTGTTTTTCTTGGGTTTCAATTTCATTTAGAATTCAGTAGAAAAAATTTCTTCAGAATAATGAATTGAAATCGATAATTTTTGTTTTTTCTTTCCATTCGTCAACAACAAATGTTGATCGAAATGTTTCCGAGGAATTTATTTTTTCACGTGAACAGAAAATTCCAACAACAAAAAAAAAAATAACATTTCGAACGATCATCAACCGATAATGATGACAGAACATTGTCATTATGGAAACCATTTTCTCATTTGTTTGTTTACCATGAAATTTTAATTTGGTTTTTCTCACTCTTTATTTTTCTGTGAAATGATGATGATGATGTTCAATCAATCGATCAATGAATTGATCGATCGATCGATCGATCAATTCATCAATAACAATGATGGATAATAAAGATGCGAATGAACAAATAATGACAATGAAAAATAAATGAAATTTTGTACCTTGAATGAAAAAAAAAATGAATTGTAAACATCCCAAACAAACACAATTACGACAAATTGTTTTTTTTCAATTTAAAATTTTAACAACAACAAAAATTTTGAAGAAACGATTGCATCCGCTATTACACTCACTCACTTACAAACACGTTTAAATACAGAAACAAAAAACAAATATTTGTGATTGACAAATATTCGAGGTCAGAAAATCTTTCATAAAAGTGCGAACAAAAAAAAAATTTGAATTTTATTTTGTTTAAGAAAAATTTCACCAAAAACGTATACACAAACATACCTCACCATAGATAGATTTAATGATGGATCATCGCGTTGGGTTTAATTATTGGTTTCAACAACAACAAAAACAACAACAGAATTAATATATCAAAAGTTGCTAGGAAAAATTTAATGATTTTTATTTCGAAAGAACAACAATAACAAATTATGCTGAAAATATCAAACTATCATTATCATCATTTAGGAGGATTGAGGTAATAATGGTTACGCTGTCTTTCTTCAACAAGTATCATCACCATCAACGAAACAAAACAAAAGAGGTGAAATGAAAATGAAAAGTATGAAAAAAAAATCAATGCAAAATGGATTGGAAAGAAAGAAAGTCAGGCTTTCTTTCTTTGCATATTTTCTGTTGATACTAATAATGATTTTATTGAATCAAAAGTAAAAACTTTCGATTTGATTATGATGATCAACAATCATCATAATAATGTTTATGGCTATATTGTTGTTCAACTATGTTTTTCTCTCTTTCTCTCTCTCTCTCTCTCTCTCTCTCATCCACATTCCAATGATGATAATGATAACGCAACGAAAAAAAAGACATTTGATTTCGGCAAATCAACAACAACAACAACAGAAAAGTTTTATGATATGGATTTTTTCGTTTGTTCATTGGAGAAGAGAAACCATTTTCTCTTTTACTCGCATCTTAATAGATGGATGGATGGAAAAAAATGTAACTTTCTTATGTCATTACGGGGGTGGTGGGGGAAAATGAAAATTGTAAATATTTTAACGGAGAAAGTTATGTGTTAAACACATACACAGCTGATTGGCCAAGAAAAAAAATGTAGATTTTTTTCCAATCACCATAATTGATGAACGATAATTGATGTCAAAAATTGTACAATAGGAAAACAAAACAGAAAAAATCCCTTTTGATAATATGATGATGGTGGTGGTCAATGATAATGATTGTTGTTGTTGTTGAATGAATTTTAAGCTTAATTTAATTAAGTTTATATGTACAGAACAAACTGAAACAAATCATAACATTTAAAAACAAGTTTTCAAGTAAACTAATAATGATGATTATGACACAAACAAAAAAATGATCACAAGATTTATTTGAAACTTTGCTTATGGAAATTGATATTGAAATTTTTGTTTAATTTTAATAAAATGAAAACCTGTTCGCAAAAAGTAATAATCTAGTTCTTCGTTTGCTCGTTTTGTCTTGAAACAAAAATAAATTCTTATCATACTTATCATGTTGATCCGGATGATTTTATCAGAAAAAACAACAAACAAACAAACAAAAATCACAAGGGATTTGTAAATGGAAATTTAAAAAAAAAAATTGAAGAAGAAAATTTCTACCAATAATGTACATTTTGGTTAAAAGATGGAAATTTTTTTTTGTCGTTTGTTTAACTTGAAACGTAAAAATAAATAAGGTTCAAGGTTCAAGGTTCAAAGCAAAAAGAATAATATTTTTTCTTGGTTACAAACCTGATAAAAGTTGATATTTTGTGTTGTTGAAATGTAAGTTTTTGCGTTTGTTGTTGTTGTTGTTCGTACGTTTTACATTAGTTATTTTTTTTGCCTATTTTTAGAAATGGATTCTTTCTTTTTTCATATTTTTTTTTGGTCGCTTTTACACTGTTGTTGTTTTCTTTTCTTATGGATCAATGTCCGTAAACATAACACATAGACACACATATACTCGCCCAGAAATTCGGCAACAAACGAAACAAAAAAAAAATTCGTGATAGTCGTAGTCGTAGTCGTAGTCGTTGTCATGGAACACACATATATAAGTTGCAAGAATAATAATGACTGGTAATGACTGGGTTCGGTTGCCGAATAAAAAAAAAGATTCTACAGTTTTTTCTTTCTTATTACAATTTCAACCAAAAGAAAAAAAGAAGAAACTTTAATAATTTCATGGTTGACATAAACATGTTTTTTTTTTACAAAAATGTTTAGTCGATGGTTATATGTGGGTGTGTGTTTCGTATGTGGTCGAAATGATAACAACAACAAAATTAGAAATCAATTTTTTCTTTTTTCTATTTGGTTGAATCCATATAGGAATTCATCTGCTTCCTATACACACATTAAAGATCCAATTGGAACGATGATAATGATGATGAAAACTTTTGAACACAAACTTAAACCACTATTACGGACTTGTGAGAATATATATAAATTGTGTTTGCGCCCAACATTTTAGAGAGAGAGAGAGAGATAGAGAAAGAAAGATGGAAAGCAAAATAGATGAAAAAGTATAGCATAGCATTGTCAGCTGGATGATATCATTTCTTTTTTTTACGAAATCATGATTATTACATGTTTGTTTTTGTTGTTGTTGTTTAATTTTGATAGTGGTCGTTGTTGTTGTTGTTGTTGTTTGGTGATGTATCGAAGTAAAAATATTCCATGCATGCATGTTGATGATAATGTTCCACACAGACACAACAGAAGAGAAAAAATAAAGTCTACACCCCACAAATAGCACATATATTTGAATCACTTTTCTGGCTATCTTTCTCTCTCTCTGCGTATTTTGCATTATCAATCAATATTGTAACCAAGGAAGATTATACGCATGTGTATTTCGAATGTTTGTTTTTTAAATTTCATTTTTCGTTTTTTTTTTTTTTTTTTTTTTGGTAGTGGTATTCAAAATAATGATCAATTTTGTTACGTAATAATTTTTTGGCTATTTGAAAATTGATGAATTGATGATCAAGTTCTTTTATTTCAAAGTTTCATTTCCCTTTTAAATTGTTATTGACCGTTCTATGATAGCATCGTTGTTGTTGTTGTTGTTGAAATATCGGTCATTGACAACAATTTTGTTGTTGAAAGCCTTAGCCCCTTGTATGTTTAATCCATACAAAAATTCTGATGATGTCAAAAAAAGAAAAACTTGTTGAAAATCCTATTATTTTTTTTCGAAAAAAACGAAAAATAATTTAATTTTGAGATTCAAAGGAAATTTTTCGAATAGAATTTCTGCAGAACAAAAAAAGAATTCATAATGACTTTATTTTCAATTACTTTTTCTTCCAACTAAATTTCGATAGAACAAAATTTTTAATTTAAAAACATTATACATTGACATTTCTGATTATTTGAAACAAAAATTGAAAAAAATTCCTCGGCACATAGATCCTATTGATTGGATCAAAACATGGAAACATTAAAAAACACCTTAGAAACAGCTACAATTTGTCCAAAAAAAGAACAAAATTACCTATAAAATAAGCAAATGAACAAAATGGATAATTGTCATTTGTTTCAATTTCACCAAAAAAATCAACAACAATTTTCATCATTTGTCATTTGAATGTTTGAAAACAAAGCGAAAATTGAAAATAAAAATGGAAAATTCCAATACAACAAAATTGAATGATATATTGAAACGTTCATTTTATTATCTAAAATATTATTCATTACGTTTAGAATATNTAGCCCCTTGTATGTTTAATCCATACAAAAATTCTGATGATGTCAAAAAAAAAGAAAAACTTGTTGAAAATCCTATTATTTTTTTTCGAAAAACAAAAAAAATAATTTAAATTTTGAGATTCAAAGGAAATTTTTCGAATAGAATTTCTGCAGAACAAATAGAAATCCTAATGACTTTATTTTTCTATTACTTTTTCTTCCAACTAAATTTTGGATAGAACAAAATTTTTAATTTAAAAAAACATAATATATTGACATTTCTGATTATTTGAAACAAAAATTGAAAAAAAATTCCTCGGCACATAGATCCTATTGATTGGAAACAAAACATGGAAACATTAAAAAACACCTTAGAAACAGCTAAAATTTGTCCAAAAAAAAAGAACAAAATTACCTATAAAATAAGCAAATGAACAAAAGTTATAATTGTCATTTGTTTCAATTTCACCAAAAAAAATCAACAACAATTTTCATCATTTCTCATTTGAATGTCAAAGCAAAGCGAAAATTGAAAAAATGGAAAATTCCAATACAACAAAATTGAATGATATATTGAAACGTTCATTTTATTATCTAAAATATTATTCATTACGTTTGGAATATTCAATTGAAGATTATAATGAAAGAAAAATATTGAAAACATTGAAAACATTTCAACGTTCAATTTTGATTACAATAAATAATTGGATTTCAATTGGATTTTTAATTTTAATCATTTTTTTCAATAATAATAATCATCTGATCATCAATATTGAACGTATTGAATTGATGACCAAATCAAATCGTTTAGATTTATTATTTTTAGAATTATTAATAATATTTTCATTACTCGAATTATTATGGATATTTCTATTTAAAATGACATTAAATTATCGTTGTTCATTGCATATGTTTGCAAATCCTGGTTTTCAATCAATCAATAATGTAAATTATTTAAATAATAATGATCTTCAACAATTAGTAAAATCATTTATAACACAAGATTATATTGTTATATTAATATCACGTATAATTAATTCTACATTTATCATACTCAATCTTTATATGATTATTTATTCATATCGATTATATCAAAATGATGAAATTAATTTTAAAAAATTATTATTTACAACACTGATGTTTTATCAATATTGTCGTCATATTTGTTATATGTTGGGACAATTATTTTTTTCCGTAAGAATATTAGTATTATTTGTTGATCTATTACGATTACGTTTATTATCATTATTACGATCATTAATATTGACAATAAAACGACAAAAATTTCAATCAATTTTAATTATAAAAAAAATACATTTAAATTATTTTCAATATCGTTATGTTTGTTTATATAAAGAAACAATTGAAACTAATTATATTTTAAATACAATATTATTTGTTGTTGAAATGATATCCAAATCGGCTATTATAATGTCCTGTATATTTTATGAAAGACAATTAATTACAAGTACATTCAATATGGCATCAGTTTTGGCATTATTTTCAACATTCATTCTAACAACATTATTAAATTTACGTGTATCATTATTACCGACAAGTAATAAACAATGTACAAATTTTTTATTATGTTGGTTAGCACGAACACAATTTATAGAATTGAAAAATAATAATCATAATGAAAATAGAAAAAATTTTCATTTAAAACAACGTTTGAATAATATACGGTCAACATTACGATCAAATCAATTTGTACAAATAATGAATAATAATCGTTTTGGTTTTAGTTGTGGTCATCTTTATTTTATCGATAAATTTATTTATATTCGTGCATTGATTTTAAATTTTCATTTAATTATTAAATTTTATAAAAAAATTTGCATGTAAATCAGAAAAAAAGCTTATTATTATTATCTCCCTTTTATAAAATTAATAAAACTTGATGATTTTTTTCTCAATATTTTCCATTAAAGTTAATTACAAAAGATTTTTGGTTTTCGAAAGCATAAATAAAAGAAATGCCAAAAATTTATTTGACAAAAATCAATTTAAACATTCTGTCAAATGTTTTTTAATGGAAAAAACTTCACTGAACTTGAACACAATCGGCTAATTAACGTAGTTTTTTCGGTTCTAATGGAATTTTGCTATTGATTATTTTTTTTCATCTTCTTTCCTGTGTAAATATTCAACTGAAAACAAACAATATTTCAAAAAGTTTAAAAATTTTTTTCAAAAAAAAAAGTAATTGAAAAGTTTTGTGCACCATAAAAAAAACAAAACAAAATCGATTGAATGAAAGAATAAGAGAGAAAAAAAATTGATTAATTTAAACAGAAAAAGACAAAGCAAAGCATAATTTAATAATTGTAAATCAGCAAAATGAATGGAAGAAGAATTCATTTTTGACTGAATAATACTCATATCAAGATCAACTAAAACCGGTGTGAAAAATAACAATGAAAATTATAAAATTTTCGTCTGAAAACGAATTACAAATGGATGATATATTTATTGAAGGTTTTGAAAATTTTAAAACATATTCATTTCGTTTAAATTATTCATTATCCGATTATCGAAATCATAATATTCATTATTCANTTTTTTTTTTTTTTGCAAATGTATCCCAGGCTCAATTAAATCGTTCTTGTGCGCAAACCAGGGAAATTATACGGCCCAAACTCCATGTATTCGTAGTTTAAACAGTTTGGAAAAGTTTCAATTTCACTTTCATATTTTTAACTGTCCCATTAGCATTGCAGCTCAAACAAGAAATGAAAATTTCTAATTTTCAATTCAAAATGGTTCATTTGATCCAAATTTCCAATCTTCTCATAACAAATATAAATTGGGAATCTAATGAAGAATATCTTCAATTAACAAATTCAAATTGGTAATCTAACATGAAGAATATCTTCATGCAACAAATTCAAATTGGTAATCTAACATGAAGAATATCATTCTTCAGCAAACCAAAATTTCCAATCTAACATGAAGAATATCTTCATGTAACAAATCCAAATCGGTAATCAAACATGAAGAATATCTTCATTTAGCAAATTCAAATTGGTAATCTAAAAAGAATAACAATCTTCAGCAAACCCAAATTTCAAATCTAACATGAAGAATATCTTCATTTAACAAACCAGAATTTCAAATCCAAAATG